CCAATAGAAAACGACAATGACACATCACTTATAACCAATAGAAATCGAGAAAGTCACATCTCTTATAACCAATAGAAAAGTAGTTAGATAATGGCGGATTGTTTATAATTTCAATACAATTGACAAAAGTTAAAAAAAATTTTTTAAAATACTTTGACGCTTATCCTAAAGCTAAAATCACTTGGAGGTGTTCCAATCAAGGGTCCCCGAGACTCCTGCATAATCAGTATCATCAAATTCCAACGCATGGATATCAACCCCAACCCATAGATTATATTCCTAAACCTAAGCGTGTAAGAATAAATTTTTGATAAAAAATAATATGCAGAGGTACCTAGTGTATGTCCATATTTATTACTTTTATATGTCTGTCAGACGATACCATCTAAAGTTTCTACGATACTAAACATTCAGTCAAAAATATTTTCGATTATAAAATTTAAGTATTAATAATAATATACCGTTCCTATATTGTTGTTCTAAAAACTAGGTTTCCAATAACATTTCTTATATATCTCGAATTACTAATCACAAATCATAGACTAATCATAGACATATTTTTGCCAGTAAAAAGTTTACTCTTTAGGAGACCCTTGAAAACAATAAAGCTAGTTTTGTATTAATGTATATTATAAATTAGTAGTAATTTCAAGGAATAAAGTAGGCTTAATTTTATATTATATGATTTTTTCATCAATATATACGTATTGCGAATACCGCACCTAACGCTTGAAGTTACTACAAAAGATTGGCGTTTTTTTAAATTTATTTATTAATACTGGTACCGGTAAGCATATCTCCGATCGCCAAAGTACCATTGATTTCAATCAAGCTCAAACTAATATCACTTAAACAAAAGTCAGTCAAGTAACAATACAGTAAAGGCATAGCGATGAGCAATATTTGAAGCCCACGTGCATACTCATGAATGCTCATGCATTTCACCTGCCATTCGGTCAATGTTACTGCATTGTGTACAAGGCTTTGACTGCTACTCTGAATACCAAATAATTCCAATTTCGAATATCACTGTGCGATAACTCGCTGATACACACGTCTATATTGAACTTGTTTATAGTAAACTAGCTTTTATATATGGTTTTATAATATATCCTGGTATCTATAATCTACCGTCAACGTCTATTCTAAATCATTATATAAATATGCTCATTATTAATATTATATTGTGCGTTCTAAGTATGTAAGTACATAAGGGATGAATCATACCATTGTTTTTAAGTCTATGGAGAACGTATTATATTATACGTTATTATGTATTTGCGAATCATGGTATAGTCTTTTAAAATAGTTCAATACTGTGGAAAGTTCAGTTAATTTAAATTCATTAACGTACAATTTTAAAAACCCAGTAAACAGCCACCTAAATTTAGTATCCGTTTTTATATTTATATATAAATTTGTATCACACATACGAAATATATTAAATTAATAATAAATACTTGTTAAATCACCCACCTTACACATGCGGAGCTCATCGTTCTATTCATTTGTTTCTCCTTTTCATTCATGCCTTCTTATTTCGCTCGTTCTATCATTATCATCTATTAGTGGACTGGCCGTATATAATGGTGAATTGTTTTCAATATTGGACATTATGTGAGCGTTCAAGTATTCTGTTAACGCAGTGAACGGCGTATGAGCTGTATAGATGAATGCACCTGTGTTGTACTTCACAAAGAGGACAATGTATGATGAAGTTAAAAATCTATTATTTTTTGATGACGACGCCCTAGTACTAAATCATCTTGGGTCATTGTTTATTTCGCGTATACAGCGACCGGCATATATAAGAGGCAGTTATATACTTTGTTCCTAATATTTGTATGCTATGATAATTTAATATAATTTTTATAGTTCTATACAATATTCTACTGTATGCAGAGAGCAAGCCGTAAAAATATCTATGTCCGAAGTCGCATACTAGTAAATTATAAATAGATGTCGTTACGCAATACTAAGCCAAATTTGACGTGTGGGAAACTCAGAGTCATTAAGAGAGTGAAGACAGAAATAGAAGCTACTATGTGTGACACTGATGTGTGTCATCTGTTGGTTAATTGAGATAATTCAAGAACGTACAGTAAAGGTTCTCTATAGGTTGGGCATAGACAACACTTTGACATTACTTAATGTTTAGAGGATTGAATGTCATGTCATGAACATCAAAATTACATGATGATTATAATTTGTTTTAGATCAGTGTTGGCCTAGTGGCTTCAGCGTGAGACTCTCATCCCTGAGGTCGTAGGTTCGATTCTCGGCTGTGCACTTATAGAAGCAAACACAAACGGTGAAAGAAAACATCGTAAGGAAACCGGAAACGGATTTGCCTTAGACCTAAAAAGTCGACGGCGTGTGTCAGGCGCAGGAGGCTGATCACCTATTTGCCTATTAGATTGACAAATTATCATGAAACATGTTGTTTTTTTATAATTGTTTTAATTTAATTTTATTATTTTCCAAAAACGTACGCCTGTTTATTACTTGGCTTCTAATTTTAATTTGAAACCAAGCAATTAAACTCAGAAAGATAAAGAATTAACGACTGTATAATTGACCAAACCGCATATTAATATTAGATAAGTATATATATTTGCTATAATCCGTAATTTGAAAATTGAAATGGGTTGTGAATTAATAGTGCATTGTAATCAAGTACAGTGCGTCAAAGCCTTGTTTGAAGGCTTTGCGGCTTGTATTTCGAATGTCAAACTTCGATGCAATCCGTTAATACATGACCTATATTAAGACTCATATCACAGCATACTTTTATTGTATGTTTAATACCAAATATTTATCGACTTGATTTAAATAAAAAACAAATTTTAATAGCGAAGCTCGAAGTTTGTCTTAGTTATTTGTAATATTTATAACGATTTTTTGTTTCGTTTTTATCACATATTTAGATGTCAATATGTGAAAACTTGAAAACTTTTCATAGGAATATATTATTTAACAATAGAGTAAGAATACTATAGGAAAATGTATTGATCTGAAAATGTTCACCTAACCTAACCATTGTATTAAGTTTTGTCTGTATAATGTGTAAACTGAGTAGAATTATTTTTTTCTTTAAATCAGGTACTGTGGTCAATGCACAGAACATTATAGTGACAAATTCTATCTAAAAAAACGAAAAAAATACTTTCTACTTATTCTACAATATCCCAAACAAAATTAATATATACCTATATTCATTAATGTTGTCACTATCTAACTATCTAATCTACTACATAATTATAACACAAGATCACTGGACTTATGTCTTTTTAATTTAAAAAAGGAAAAATGAATCATAATATGAGGTGTCAACAAATAGGATTCGTAAATGTTAGCACACCTGAGCGATTGGCACGATGACAACTTGCGTAATATAACCGCAGACGCAGGAAACAGGGCTATTTGAGTCACTAAAATAAAATATAGTTTGTTTGTGTCTCAAAGCCCTTCGGAAATAGCCAACGACAAATCATAAACGTTACGTCACTGAAGGTTTCACTTTAGTTTCAATTGTATGTATTGTCACTCACTTGAATTATGATCTGTGTGTTTAATATGTTTACGTTCTGAGCAATATTTCTATATTTTATTTATATGAATAATTATATATAAATTTTACGTATTCATGTCAGTGTTTTTGGAGCCTAGTAGAGTTTTGATATTAATATTTTTATGTAATTTAATTAATAAATATTTTGGGCTTGTTCAATTTAATTAATAGACACATACTGGAATTTATAATAAACACTACACTCTTATCATAACTAAGTCTTATCAGCCATCATTTTTTATCACGCGATAAAATACGGTTTTCATTGCCAATGTTAAGCAGCGTGTGCCTTGATTTTGTGCACACATAGTAAGTAGTTTTATCAGTATAAAATACCTTTTTATATGATAATTATAACAAGAACGATATTAGTAAGGCGATTCTGGTTATTTTCGTCTTTTCAGTTATGATCCTCTTTGATACTGTAATAACATATTAAAATATTATATTCTGTGCTATTAAACTTTTTATAACAGTTCTCAGTTTAATAACTAAACAGTTATTATTGCTAAAGTTAGTTTTACAAGGTTCATAAGTTTAAAATTGCAATATTTATGATTGAGGAGATTTTTAAATAGAACGTTTAATGAAATTATATATGAGTCTTACGAAAATATAATAGAATTATTGTGAAATTGCGACCATTAAAAACGTTTTACTCTGCTACAGTAACTCTTTTAGAGTTTAAAATCGCATCATTTAATGTAAAAAATCTTGTTTTTCTTTTTGCAAATCTTGTCGCCAACTTGTAGTTGAAAACTCACTAATAGCTTTGCTATTTCAACACTGCTTACACAGAGTACTTGAATTAATAAATCGAAATCACAAAGAAAGCAGAGAATCGATGCTAAATGAGCCATTAGTCTATTCACAGAGTTTTTGTCGGATTTCTTTTCTTGAATAATGATCCTATTAACGTCTCTTAAATTAATTTAATATCTTTTTTACTGCTCTCGTCTGTAACAAAACGTTTCGCTAAAGTTATGCCGTGTAATTCAAATTATTCCATTTGTCTTCACAACTGTGCAAAGATTACGAAGCTACAGTGCTATCTACGACAAGGCAGAGTCTTAAACCAAGTTATTTGTAAACTACTGTCTTCCTATATCGTAGTAGAATTAATCAATACTAACTTCCTTCATTCCGGGTCCTTTCATCACGGATAATTCCGACCTGGTTGCACTTCAGGTAGACGTGGATCTGGAACACCCAAAACAGTTGGACTAATAAAAATAAAAGCAAGACATAATAGGCTTAAACTTCGATTTTAAGTACCAAGTTCATTTTAGATGCGCTATTGAATTATTGGTGAACCGCAGTTAAAGTTATATAATCAAATTAGGAACTGTAAGTTAGTGAGGCGGCCAGCGCGTGCGACGAGCGCTTGTGATAAGAATGCTTAATGTACGAGTATAGACGATCCCTTGAGATGGAGACAACTTGTGCCCCACGTACGTGATTCTTTTTATAAATTGACATGTTACTTTGCTGATCCTTTTGATATAATTCAAGGAAGTATGTTATGTACATATTAATTATTGGTAAAAAGCTTCGTATCAATCAAATTCCAATGTACGTTTGATGTAGATTCACATACGAAAATATTAAAATACGATTCATTTTCTTTTATAGAATCACTAAATGTATTGGAGAGTAAAGTATTCAGCAGTATATAACAAAAAAACGTTCGATTTTTGAACCCAGAATACTCAAACAATACACTCGGCACTCAAAATTCACAATCACGTGTGCTGGAATTTTTCTCAGATTTACCTTAATTGAATTCGCTTTCGGGAAGTTTTAATTTATTTACGTTCCTTTGATGCCGGCTCCGTGTTTTAGATAAATAACCAATTATCTCAATTCGAATTAATTCCCTGCGAGGGCATGTGATCTGGAATAAACGTGTATTACGCTCGCGTCCGTGCCTATAATTCAGATCGCAATTTTAATCTGATAACTGTTATTGCACTAGAGATATTTTTATAATAAAACTGTTGTATTTTTTTGATGCATTTAATACTTTTTAAGTCTGTTTCGTTATTGTTTATGTCAGAACTATTATCTATAGTTTTACTCTTTAGATAAAAGTGAATTCGAAATTTAAAAAAATAACACCTCCAAATGTTTAAAAAGCGAGTCTATTCCTCCCTCAAAGGCCGGCAATGCACCCACTAAAAGTGGGTCTTTTTGGTCGTCCCGCAAGATCGTTTGCCCCTCTATTATATATAAAAAAAAGCAATAACTAATTTTATTAAATGGTAATATCGGACCATTAAATCAAATTAGCCGAATACACACTATAAGTGATGGTAAACATTATACTCTTATGAGGTCACAATTCCCTGATCCGATAGGGCGCACCCACTAACCCAATTTGAACCCAACTGAAAGCAAACATACACTCAACACCAATTTATTATAAGATTAGTTTTTGCTATGCCTTATGTAAAGCGTATGTAATATAATTAAAATGTAAAAGATTTATTGACTTCGTTAAAGATATTGGGAGGAATAATAAATAACCATATACTTCTAAGTTTAGGCTACGCATTTATAACAGATTTGGTTTTACTACAAAAATTTATTTAACAAAGCCCAAAGTGTGCTAGTGCTAAAATTGTAGTGTGTAAAAATGCTAAATGTTAAAAGAGAAATTCAAAATGTAAGCAAGAATTTTTATGAATCTATGGTTTTATGTAAATTTATTTAATTATTCAGTAGTTGTAACTTTATTGCTAAGATGTAAGCCGCGCATATTTGTAGAACGTAAAATGTACTCTACAAAGCCTACGTACGTCGGCTTTATTTGCTCGTATTTTGTTCGGAGCTGTTCAATATATTCAAGTTAAGCATTATTACGTTTATTGCTGCACGGGGAATCGCTACAGTTTATTTACCATGTTACCTTGCAAACGTTTCTCAATTCAATAATGTTATACTTAACCACTCTGCACAGAGCATATTTTTACTTGTATTGAATATAAATTCGTTTTATTTTCCAACAATTGTTCTATGGCCGTAACCCTAAAAAAGTCAGTAGAATAACGCGTGCATTGATATTTTTAAGGCAAGCGAATGATCAGTCTGAACCGACATATTTAGCGTTCCTCCAAACATCGAGCTCTGGAACTTTGGGTTATTATACGCATCAACAACTTAGTAGTCCCATCATAACATCCCAATCAATAAATTCATCTTAATGAAAATTGGATAAATTTATATCACAGCCTTGAAAATTTATGTTAATATCATTCCGTTGCGATGTATGTAGGTAAACTCAATTAAAAAGCCTATGTAAACAAGGTTATATTGACAGGATGTCGCTTAGATAACATCTCAACATGACATGATCTATAAATTACCTACGAATTATTCATAGGGTTGCTACGGCGTAGCAGACACAAGAACCTTAGAAAGGCTTGAATTTGCTCTATAAAGTACAAAAAAAATTGTAGGCTTTTTTTATTTGTCAATCCAATTTGAAGTATTTGTATGTGTAATCTATGGTGGCATTTTTTTTTAATAAACTGCGTTCTCTTTTGAGGCATCAGTTCAGTTCAGTCATCAGTTGTATTCTATTGAGGCATCTAACATCCTAAAAATTTCAAGCTTGCTCTTTCTGGGATTTCACAATGTCAATATTAATTAAAAATATATCATATAGGTAAAGCTGAACCTCAAAAAAAAATTAAATGTTTCTAAAACAAATAAGTCTATGTAATAAACATTGTAGATTTAATATTGTATACCGCAACCTTGAAAATTTTCACTAAGTCATATCACAGTAATGTGCTCACGCAATAAAACAAGTATGACTTTCCACACATCTAAACGACACCATTTATCAAAACGTTAATGTTTGCGTTGTAATGAAATTACATACTGTTTCTTTGTTGCCGTTTAAAACTTTTATAGCCAGAGGCTGTGGTTCACATAGATTACCTTATTCTTGGATTCCTAAAGAACAAATTTAACAAATAATGAGAACTCTATCCTTTCTAGATTTGCATAAGAGCGACTTATTAATATTATTATGCAAAAGAATGAATAAATAATATAATTGAGAGTGGAATCTTTTTCGTCAAAGCACTTCACGAATCTGCACATTTTGATTTATGAACGACTTAAGACAGGTCAACTGAAGGGCAGATACTTATCAACAGTCAAATTGTCTCTATCTTGGTTTTATGATGCTCACGAAGGGCGTCGAATTTAGTTTCATTGCTCGATTTTATATCCACTTTATTACTTTCATTGCTTTTTGTTGTTTAATACTTAGTATAATAAGTACTATTAGTCGTATTTAACATAATATTTAAGGTAAGTAAAGGCAAGTTTCCGAAAATGAACAGAACCTTTGACCGCTCAAAATATTTGAAAAAGTAGATATTAAAAATAAATCATATATAATTTATTGTATTTACAACATTCCTTACCTACATAGTAATAATAGTAATTAAAACGGTATAGATAGAAAACTTAAATTAATTTAAAAAGTTTGATCTCTGTGGCAGCGTACCGTACCTGATGCTAGTAGCGTTTCCTCGCTGTATTGCGATACTTATTCATTAAGGAAAGCATCAGCTCTGGCGTAACCGGTACAATCTACCAGGCGCCAACTTAAATACTTAATTAGGGCCTGTGCACATAGGGTGAGATCTATAGTGCGCACTTAGACTTTGCTCTGACTTAACTATCGAGCTAAGACACAGTCGGTATTTATAGAGCAAACTGCGAATCTCTCCCTAGTGTTGGCTTAGCTTAATCTCAAGTCCACGAAATCGACGACTTACCAAAAACTTTGACTATAAGCCTAACAAAAATAATGGCCCAAAATTTGCTTTACCATCATATCTTTTACTGGACTTTTTATTTTTGTCGGTTTTTAATGAACGGTGTTGCCATTTTGTATCGGAGTTCCATAGACTTTGGGAAAAATAGAATTTGAATTGAAAGAAATTATAAATGATCTTGATAAATACCTATGAAATGCATGAAATAAAATAATTACACATTATTATGGTATTTATTGTTGTTTATTTATATTATTTATGTAATTGTTCAAACCCCATTTTTGAGAAATCTTAAAAATAACTGGTGTGATTTTGTATGTCACCTGGCAGCCCTGGCATATTATAGTGACAACGAAATTCAAACTACATATAACCTAACCGATGTCTCTCGCTTCACATCTGTTATTTTCGTTTCCCTGAATCTTCTACCATTTATTACCTGACTACCCTAAAAAATTTGAGATAGGAGTGGAACATATGAAATTAAAAAATCTGTTAGAAATAGAATTTCTTCAACAAAAATATAAATTAGTATTAGAAATATGTATTACACTTAAAAAAAGAATCAGAAAATAAATGATTAAAATGAAACAAGTTTTGTTTTGATATTCTTTATTACCAAACAAATTACCTAGTTAAATTGTGCAATCACAGATTGCCGGAATGCTAGACCTGTAGGAGATCTTTCATTGTTTCTGTGTTACTCAACTTCTGCTGTCAGCAAGATCACCATCATCATAAGCATCGCCTCTCTGTATACCTATATTATGCAATACAGCACAAGCTATAATTATATATAACTAGTATTTGTCAATTTAGACTGTAGTCCTAGCTGTAAACATGGAAATTTCCTTTTTCACACTCTGAAAAACCTTTAAAAAATATGCCTAGTTCTTATTTGAGAATAATTATAAATATTGTCAGCTCTTGTCATTGGATTTAAAAGTGTTGTTAACATGAAGTTAAGTGCTGGATAACCGCTGTCACCTACTAAAACAGGCATTTTCTAAATATCCTGCTGTCGTGTGAACTGCCAGGCCACCTAGTCACTATAGCAAATATTTCCATATCAGGCCCTATTATTGCTTGCACATTTACAGAAAAATACCCTTTTTTATTTCTGTATGCTTCAGAGTGAGCGATACCTTTGGGTCTATTAATTTTTATATGGGTGCAGTCAATAGCTCCGATTATACTGTTTAGGCCATGGGGAGTATTAGATCTTCCTAATTCTTCAAACTTCGTTTTGGCTGTGTTCATATTTCTTGGAAAATTTACAAATCTAGGAAGTAATTTACTCAACTCTGCAGAGACTTTATTTATAATTAAACAGACTGTAGATTGGCTTATGCTGTTCAGATCACCACACACCATCTGTAATGTCAATAAAGTATTATTAGTCACATATATGTTATGTTTGAAAGTCAGAAGACAAAAGTCTTCAACATATGTACTATTTAAAATCATTTGAGAAGAGGTATAATATATCAAATTGAAAAACCATACATATTTATGAACACAATATTACCTGAAAACATCCAGTTGCATTTTTATGCCTTAATGCAATAAGTATTTGCAATTGCGGTAGGTTTGGCGATCCTCTGTTGTTATAAGGTTGCAAGTTTGTAATGATCAGCGTCAGGATCACATTTAATACCGTGTGTTTCAAAATACGGTTCCTTCTTTTGAATTCATTCTCACCGTACAGGATGGAAGGATTTTGGTTTTATTAGTTCCGAACATATACAACACTTTAGGCATTCGTGGATTCATATCGGCTGCAGTTCCTACCCTTTCAATGTTTTCTATTGAAGATAGAACTCTCTCTCTCCATCATGTCACTTTCGATATTGATATTTCCAAGCGGTCCATGTAACAAAGCCAAATCACAAAACGAAAGAAAGATCAATTTAATAAATTAAAGTGGTTTAAAATTTTCAATTGTTGATAGTTGATACAAGTGCTCTGTTGCTGTTGTCAAAACATTGCAATCCGTTCTACGTAATAAAATTATTGTCATCTTTAAATAATTAATACATTTTCTAAAGGTTACTCGTGAATTTCTAGTTATTGCAATAATAAAATAAATGAATACATAAATAACAATAAATTGAAGATATATGTGTACCGTTTTAGATTTTTAAATATTTGTTATTGTTAACTTTTTTAAAGGATAATAAACAAAGTATTGCATGAAATGAAACATCAATTTGTATTTTGACATTTTCTGTCTTAGCTTGGGCTTAGCTTAATCTCACCGTTAAAATGTCTATAAATACGAAATCATAGTTTAACCTTAGTGTACACTAAGCAAAGTTTTTCGTAAGGTAAGTCTGAGCAAAGTCCAAGTGCGCACTATAGATCTCACCCTTAAACCCCACGGCCGAAGAGTCTCTACTCCAAAGGGAACAAAATCAAAGTTGGAAAGACTCATATATATTTGCCGTTTATTATTTTCCTCCTGCTCTGCGGCCGCTCCAACTTTCGCGCTTAACATAATTACAAATTGCGTTCCGTAAAATTACGTATTACCAACTAAGTAGACCAACAGTAATGAACAGCTCATCATCAGTCGTTCCAAATTATATTTTTTTAATGACTATTAAAGATACCCTAATGCCTTTGTGTGCCTATAAAAATTAAGAATTGCTTTCTATATTTTTCAGTCGGTAAATTTGTTTTTTTAAATAAACGACAATACTTCTATAACTGTCATAATTGACATTAATAGTGACGTAACTGATAACTTTTGACATTTGCAGCGGTGTGGACGCCCGGGGCGCAGCCGCCGGCGGGCGACAGCGGGTCCAGCGCTGCCACGCCGCCCGTACCGCCCCCACCGCCTGTCTGGACCCCAAACAGCGCCACAGCATCGCCCCAAACACCGCGCAAAACTTTCCGCCCTGTACACTTCGAGGAGTCACCACCAGCCCGCAGAAAATTCGAAGTTTGTATTTCTTTACACATCTAACAACACTGCACTACTAAAACTAACTAGAAGTCAGTTAAGTACATACACAAACTATCAGTAAGTACTGAGTAATGCAAAGTGCAGGCCACAAAAGTTTAAGTAAGATTATGTAGGTTGTTTATGAAAATTATAAACTTTGTATCGCTGAGTAATGATTTATTTTATTATATTAGCCTTGCTTTATTTTTGTATTATAAAATGTGTTGATTTTCAATTAATTAAAAATATAGCCATATACGTAAAAATTTTTACTGAGAGAACGGTTAAAATATTAGGTTTTCCAAGAAAATCGGACCGGACCTAATACTTGTGCGTACAACACACAAGCTAAAGTCTGTGCAAGTTCTTCCACAAAATATACAACGACTTGACAGTTAAAAGCATAGTCTATTAATGGTCTTATTTCCTAGTTCCTGCGAAGTTTATGAGTTTTCTTTGAACTTCTCGTTTGTGATATCAGAGCAAAATATTCGCAATGACCTCTCACAACTTTTCAAATTCAATTTCCTTCATTTTAACCACTTTGTTTGTGTAAGAAGCAAGCTTATAAAGAACTTTTAATAGAAACATGATGCTTAACTGGCTTTTTGTTTTGTTTTGACATAATTTAAAACGTATTTTTTTAAATATTTCGTAGTTCAGTTACGGCTTAAAAGAGGACGTAATGACAAAGATACGAAAGGGAATGCTAAGGTGATTTGGCCTAGTAGAACGGATGAATGAGAAACGGTTGACATGTAGGACCTACAAGGCAACGTTGGATGGTGAAGTCGGGTTGTGTAGGCCTGGTCGTACATACTTGGACCAAATCCTGGAGGTACTAGAGAACTAGTCCCTAGTTTAAAGTACCCATAACCGACGAGCATGCATTCTCCATGCATGCCGTGGACTCTGCCTATCCCTTCGGGAAAATTATGATATTATGAATAAATTAAATAAATTAATTAACAGAACCATCTTACAGAAAGATCCAGAATGGACTGTGTCATCTGTAATGTGTTGTCTATTTTTTTTTTTAAAACATAAATAGCCTAATACGTGCATACTTCGTATAGCAATACATTTAATACATTTTAATAAATTTAATTATCTGGGTAATTCAGACCACTCAATAGGAATATTGTTATTTAATACTTTTGTAGTAGGTTTTGTTCCTACATTTTGGAGTCGGCTCTGTTATTATTATATTTTTAAAGGAATATAAAGACCATTCATCAAATTCATGTAGAAATTCTAGTGTTTCTGTGATATATATTACTATAATCTTGTATTAAGAGAAGTCTGTTAAAAAATTGGTCGAGTAAGTAGTAATTAATACTTAGATGGCCAAACGTGTAAAATGTAGTGTCTTTAATGATATTACCTTTGTCTTACTGCAGACAAAGGTAACATCGTACTTATAGTGACAGACAAAAGTAACCTCTATCAAATTTCCAATATTCTGCAATATTGTGAAACTCAAATCAATTCATACGATGAGGTATTCAATAAGTCTGTATGGCATCCAATTTATACAAGATGCGAGTATTGCGGTCTAGGCAACATCACAGCCACCCAGTTTGTATAATTTCCATTCTACGTTTGGTCTACATATGGTAATGTTTCTCAATAGATAATCGGGAAGCTAGAATATGCAGATGTATGGTTACACATACATTGGGGTGATCCGTGATCGTACTTTAACAAAAATATAATTTCATGAATCAAAAAGAAATTTCTATAAAGAATGTGGCGCTAAAACCCTTGATCATGGCCTCAGGTTTCTGTATCAATTTCGTGATCTTGTTTTTTTAATAGGCAAAAAGATGATCAGCCTTACCTGATACGCACAGTCGACTTTTTAAGTCTAGCACAAGCCAGTTTCATCACGATGCTTTCTCTGAGCTGAGTTAAATGTACACATAGGAAGAAAAGGCCTTTTGTGCAAGGGTTTGACGAACCTACCATTTCAGGGACTCAAGGCACACGCTCAAGCCACTAGGCCAACACTGTTCTAATATATACTAATAATATGAAGTTAGTTACTATTAGTGGTTGACCGTGCGATAATCATCGCTTCAGCTTTTCAAAATCTTGGCTTGGCAATTAACAATTGAAGGAATATAGAACTTTATGAATATAACAATACCCACTGTATTAATACGCAAAGACAACATATGATTACATGATTACTTATGATGACAGCAGCTTCTAAATATAATTAATTCACTTTGATCATTGTTGTTTGTACAAATTTTAAACATAATATGGAAGCAGACATATTACAAGTTAGAAGAAGTTAAAAAGATGTTTTATTTCTCAGAATAAAGAACCGAACGGTTGCATGAGTGGCTCTGAGGGTGAGAGCCGTCTTCGAACGTCGCATAGCGCTCCTGTGACCGGCTTCAACTCCCTGGGAAGCAAGTTGCCTAAAGCACCGAATCCTACTGTTACATTACTTCAAAAAGCTCGAGGTATGTAAATAATCGAGAGATAGATAGAGATTCGATGATGTCTCAGTCATGAGAAAATTCACTTTGGAAATAAAATAGACCCATCTAATAAAAGTAATAAAAAAAAATAAAGCTTTTAAATTATACAAATGGTACAGGAAAAGTAAGTTACAATTAGGGCTGTATTATTTTTTCTTTTTTATACAATTTTTTTTTTAATTTCTCTAAAAAATGTGTATACTCGTATAGTTTTTAAAATACTTAAGAAACCACTAACCGATTTAAATGAAACTTCACTGTTGAAAAGTTGGAATATACGAATACTATATAAAAATCATTCGATATGCTTACAAAATATTTGTGGAATACACACACCTTTAAGACCTTTTGCTTTCCTAAATCACTATACACAATTATTATTCAATTCCTGCAACATACGTAAAACTGATAACCTTTTTCGAAGACGTTTAAAAAGAATGTTACAATATGAACGAACGGTTCCTGAGATTAGCGCGCTCAACCGACCAAACAAACTCAAACATAATAACAATGAATTTCGTGACAAAATTAAAATTCAAACCTCTTTAATGCCCTGAACATCAAAGTAATTTTTGGGGCGTCCCTACTTAAACAATAACTTTGTAATTTATTCGTAAGTAAAGTTAATGGAAGTTAATTTGTGTCTTGTAAACCGACTTTTCCCTCCCGACGTATGAAAAGATGAACATAAATATGTTCACTTTTAATTAACGAATTAGAGATTTAGAATATATCTGGATTCATATTTTCAATTTATTCGTAAATAAATTTTATGGAAGTTAATTCGTGTCTTGTAATCGGACTTTTCCCCCATGACGTGAAAATACGATAATAATTATTTTCACTTTTAATTAACGAATTAGCGGTATATAATAAAATACAGTGTATACTCTTTATATAGACATACCTTATAACAAAAATCTCCTATAACGAAAAAATAGTTACATTTGTTTGGTTTAACGCAAACTCCATACATTAGTTCACTCTTTATAACACAACAGTAATTCTCTATAACGAAGAAACATTTTCATATTTAGACATCAACAACATACTTAAGTGTAATTGTTTTATAATCAGCTTACAAAACTAAACTTTTGGGGCCCCGAAATTTCTAAGAAAGACACCTGAAGTCATAAACAGCCGTCTCGCCTTGGTTATTGTTACAATTAATCACATTAATGCAATCATTATCACGTGTCCATTATTCTTAGATTACATTGCCTGTAGGAAATTTTGGTCTCAGTTACTAATAGTAATTTTTAGAATAATTTACCTATTAAAAGTAATAAAAAATTATTGTAATTGGTTAATTTTTAATTGGTTGGTTCTTTTTCTATTCACTCCTCTCCGACTCTATCTCGGTCTCTCGAAATTCGTTATAAAGAGTTTATTTACACTGTATAAAAGAGATTTAGAATACTACTGGATAATATTTTCAATTTATTCGTAAATAAAGTTTATGGAAGATAATTCGTGTCTTATAATTCGACTCATCGCTCTCGACGTATGAAAAGACGATAATAATTTCGTTCACTTTTAATTAATCGAATCAGAGGTATAATAAAGTCTATAAGAGATTTACAATTTAACAGATATTCTCTATTTAAGACAAAGATACAACGAGACTAAACTGTTACGAAATATATTTGAAATTTAGATTGCGGCGAATCGGCTCAATTTCTATTTCATTTAATTGCTCTATATCGCTAATAGCTTTCAGCTTGCCTTATCTGTGTATTTTCTAATTAGTCGGCATTATTGTCATTCACCTTTAATGGGATTAGAGGAAAGCTTTATTCGCCGCGCTCGAAGTAATTAAATACAAAGCTTCTGCTTCTAAATTAGATCTAATTTACAAACTTTTAAAGTAACAAAAGGAAATCTTAAGTTTTTTTTTCGAGGTAATTGCACGGTTGTGTTTTGTCGTGCCTTTGTCACGTTATATGTTATGTTTATATCCATTTCAGTTTACACGAACATATTCTCAGAAAATAAATAAAGCTCAATTTAGTAATACAAGCCTTTCTTCTATATAATGTAAGTATACATATATTAAACGCTCAAAAACAAAACTCAACAGACTTTAAGATAGCTTATAATCATGGAATTTAAATAATACTGGTACTGCTTTTACAGCCTTTCAAATAAAAACTATGTATTTCAGATATGAATCAGAAATCATATACATATAATTCGTTTTTAATAGCTTCTATCCATATTTTATCTCAAGAAAGCACTGATTATAATTTTCTAATAAATTTATTCCTCGCTTATTTTACTATTCGATTTGTCACCTCCAATTTCTTATTAACTACTTACATTACCATGCTTACACCTCCAATACCTTACAGTGTACCTCATGATATATTTCTTAATTCGCGAGTGTTTATAAAGATCGCATTCTTATTTATTTTCAAGCTAAACAAAAACCTGAACAAAATTCAGGCTCGCAACTGATGAATTTAAGGGAAATTAAGTCCAGTATTGCACTTGGTATCGAAAGCTGAATTCGTCCTTTCATTCTTATCTTTATTTTAACTTTGATCATGAAAAAATAATAGTGCACTTCATATAATAGTTGGTGCCTCCAACTTGATAGAATCCCAAGAATTTTATACAATCTCAATTCGTAGGGCAAATGACAAGGGTAAGGTTATTATTAAACTTTCATAGGAAGGCACCATGCTGTTCCTATCAAGCTGTGAGTGAAAACTATTCAAATGGCAACCCTATTACGCAAATATTACGCTTGGGTGTCCTTAGGGATATTATTAAGTTAAATAGTTATTTCACTAAAGAAAATCCAATTTATTTTAGCATACGTTATCAGGTTGAACCTAGATTTTACTTATAATTGGTTTAACATGGATTGTTAATTATAATAAAAAGCGAGCTGTATAATTTCAAAAATAGAACTTCGTGTTCGGTCGTATAACATAAAAGTTTACATGTATGCTGGCTGGAAACAAATTCCAAATTCGCGAAATTAAAAAAAGTATGTTTTTTCGTAGTAGACCACAAGCCCATGAACAAAAAATACCTGTGAAATGACCCAACCTGAATTACGCTTAGAAGGCTGTTACTATATCTGAAAATAGCTCTGAGCACTATGCCGTCATTTCTGAGCGGTACATGTGAGTACGTGAGTGAATGGACTTTCTCATGTACAATGGGGAATTTCGACTAATTATTAATGTACGGCTTTGTTATAAGTGTATAGATGATTAAAAATAAATGTCGAAAAACCTAGTGCCGTACAAAAGTGATGGTGCCGGAAGTCGGTGCAAATTTTTAATTCGACGACAGTTGCAGGAGCAATATAGGTCATTTATTACTGTACGGCATTTGTGTCATTCCTTTTGGACACATATACAGATACTTTACCCGTAAACGCCGTACATATTTCCAGCGGAGCGGTCGAAAGCCAAGGGTCGGAACCCTACCCCTACACCCATATACCCTAAGGTCATTGTAAAATGTACGGCAACATGTTCAAAATATTATTTAACACGGACAATAATGTTTTATAATTATGCCGTCCAAATATTATAGTTAATATTTGTGTAATTAAATATTTATCGAAATTTCAGGATTAACCAAGTTCTTACTGCTGTAAGATCAGAGAATAATGTACGGCAACTTGTTTTTTTACATAATGTTACTAAATATTACCGTTGTACATTATAGCCGTTCATTATAAATGGTAACAAATAAAAATATTATGATAAAAAATATATGAAATTTCCGAAATTTAGATGACTTTTCAAATGCTCCTATAGTAATATGGGGAGTAATATTTTCAAAGATTATTGTTATTTTATATGTAACAAATATAAATAAACAAAAAAAACCAGATGCCGTACATTTTACTCCAGATTATTCTTTACAGCTGATAAAAACTTCGACGACGTTTGAGGTGTCCCTTAAGGTCATTAATAACTGTACATATCTGAGTATACTACCATAAGGCTGTAAAGTATATTTACAGCCTTATCGTACCAGCAGAGAGAGGTAAAGGAAAAATATTTTTAACAAAAATATATATAATACAGGGCGTCCCAAAGTTATGAGACATGAAGGGAAAGTACCTTAAATATCGCAGATAGGGTATTTTACTAAAAGAAGACTTTATGTTATTTATAAAAGTTAGTAATTCTGCATTCAAAGATTTTTTTAAAACTACTTGCCTCGTCTGGAAATCGAACCGGCTTAAATTAAAAAAAAACACCCCTACTTTTATGATGCCAATCGTAAGAATGGCCAAAACCTAATAACTTTTCTAAAGTAACAGACTCGTAGGGGATTTTTTTAGGCCGAATACGATAGATAATGTTTTTAATTTGATTAAAAAGGTATATTCACGCTGTTCCTTTCTTTTAAAATACTATGTTACTTAAGAAGAGTTATTAGTTTTAGGCCATTCTTTCGATTGGCATCATAAAAGTAGGGGTGTTTTTTTTTACATTTAAGTCAGTTCGATTCCCAGACGAGGCAAGTAATTTTTAAAAAATCTTTGAATGCAGAATTAATAACTTTTAAAAATAACATAAAGTCTTCTTTTAGTAAAATACCCTATCTACGATATTTAAGGTACTTTCCCTTCATTTCCCATAACTTTGGGACGCCCTGTATTGGTAGGCGGTGGTAGCGGACTATCGAAAGTGTACGGCATTTATCTTTTATTGAAGATTGTCTAAAGTATTAATAACCTGTGTTATTGCCGTACAGATAAAAGTCACCGGAAAATGACTCTTTTCTGAGAAAAGTAATTTGCCCCATACACCTATGTGTTCCACAAAAAATGTACGGCATGCTGGAAAATGTTATCTATTTGTGAAGTACTCTCAAGATCAATTAATTTTATGTTGATTCATATCATCATCACCTATATGCTAATCAGACATATGTTGCGACCCTTGGCTTTCGACCGCTCCGCTGGGAATATGTACGGCGTTTACGGGTAAAGTATCTGTATATGTGTCCAAAAGGAATGACACAAATGCCGTACAGTAATAAATGACCTATATTGCTCCTGCAACTGTCGTCGAATTAAAAATTTGCACCGACTTCCGGCACCATCACTTTTGTACGGCACTAGGTTTTTCGACATTTATTTTTAATCATCTATACACTTATAACAAAGCCGTACATTAATAATTAACCGAAATTCCCCCATTGTACATGAGAAAGTCCATTCACTCACGTACTCACATGTACCGCTCAGAAATGACGGCATAGTGCTCAGAGCTATTTTCAGATATAGTAACAGCCTTCTAAGCGTAATTCACGTTGGGTCATTTCACAGGTATTTTTTGTTCATGGGCTTGTGGTCTAGTAGTAGAGAAGTTAAATTAAATTAAAAAATGTCTTTTATTTGAAAAAGAAACAATTTCGACGACATATTATCATTATGCTAGTATACAGCATTTGCTTTTGATTTTGAATATTTTTCTTAATATTTCCACTTAAAAATTATGTTTACATTTCAGAAGGACAGCTATCACGAGCTAGTCAGCAAGTTCAAGGTGATAGTAATTCCCGCCTTCCACGCGACAGACCATCCCCACCTTTCGGCGACCCTAGTAAGTAATTAGAGGGAATGTTGTATACTATTCAGCAGCAGCAGCAGCATAATAAAAATATGTCTATCGCGATATGTTGAGATCGTTGGATAGGCCTTGTGTTACATACCTGGACCAAATCCAGAAGGTACTAGAGAAGGAACAAGTTAAAAAGTACGCGTATATAATATTCATGATTGAATTTGCCTGATTTTAGTATAAAAATACAACCAAGGTTCTTTTCCGTTTACTTTTATAATAAAACACTATGATCAAACCTTAACTTTTTTATTGTTTAAAACAAAACCCCGAGTTTTACTTTGGCTTTACTTTATTATGAAAAATTTAAAGAAAACTTTTATTCCTTATTAAATTTCACCTCACGTCAAGTTGAATAACGATCGTTCAACTTTTGTTGTCGAATTTTTTAAAGTAATATTTAAGGTTTCGTTATTTAATTAGGGGTGTGGCGTAACTTCCGTTTCCCGGAATAAATTAGCTTAGCGGGAAGACCTCCCTCGAACTTGCTAACTTATGAATGAAAAGTAAAACAGGATTTAGATGAATTTTGGTTTGAAGAGAAAGAAAAACAAATTATTTTGTAAACAATCCAACCTCAGATGATTGCTGCCAGAGTTTTGTGGTTCAAATCAAATTCAATATTTACAAAATAGGTTCAGTTTCTTTGATTACTAACACAGGGTCCGATACGTCCTTAGAGGTATCTTGAAAGAACTAAAAACTGCTACGAATACTGTGTTTGTCAAACAACAATGCCCCACATACTTCAACAACGTTAGACAGCAATTTCATCTACATAATTCAAAAAACTAAATCAGTCGTTCTGGACTCCTTTAACGAAAATAGTTATTTATTTTTCTGTCAACTGAATTTAATAAAAATTATTTCAGTTCACGCTTTACGTCGTGGTTACGTGAGTGAAGGGGAAGGCGAAAGGCGAGAGCGGAATAGCACAACAAAAATGGCGGAGACGCAGAAAAAAATCGAAGGAATAGGACCAATCACAAATGACGGCATGCCTGTTACATTGAGATCGGTAAATAACGTACTTGTGGTTAATTTTTAATAATAAATGGCAACGAATGATAAGTGTCATAAAAATAATATTTTATTCTTACAAAATTACTTACTGTAAGTTAAATGATACCGGGCAAAGTCTCAGTTCATAAAGGTATTTTTATTTACTTTTCGAACGCGCATATGCCGAGCGCGCCATCTCTGTGATATATTTTAAATTACTGCTGTCTGTGCCAGCGCCAGCTTTAGCGCATGCGCTGGCTTTTGGCGCCATTTAAATTTTGATGTTTAAATATTTTCTATAAACCGAGCCATACAAACGAAACGAGAAAGTATAAAATACAAAAAATAATTATTCATTTTGACTATTTCAGGAAGTTAAAGACCCCTCAAAATGGTACAAGAAGATGTACGACACAATACACAAAAATAAATACGACAGTAAGTAGATTTATATTACGCAAAATAATTAAATAAATCTACCCAATAAATGAACATAAATTTTCTTTTCAGACGATTATGTGACGATACGATACAAAAACCGTAGAGGTGAATATCTTTTATTCCAAATTTTTCATCGGTGGCTGAAATTCATACATAATAGCTATTTTTCATAATATCTATACACATTTTTAAATAAAATTATACTCTCAAACGTCATATAATATATACTTTAACTACAATGTTTTTTGACGATTTCATAACATATAAAACGAAATAAACTTAATATTCAAATGTGTATAGACAGTTTACTTCTGATTGGCTTTACACAATATTTATTTTTATTTATTTATTTAAACTTTGTTGCTTTATGATATAAAAATTTAACAAAATTACAAGTAAAGGAAAGGCAACTGGCGGCCTTATCGCTTTCGAGCGATCTCTGCCAGGCAACCACTGTAAGAAAAGAAAACAAAAATATTATAACTTTTATTGCTAAATTTTATTAATGGTTTGATCTCATCACATTGATTGTAAGCACTAATATCCCTTACGTATAATGCCATAAGTTTTATTAATATTAATCTGCTAACTAATGCAATACTATAAGAATGACTTCACAAATTTATTTTACTATAAGTCCTTACAAATAAATACTAATAAAAGTGGTGAAAGTGTTAGTTGTTTCTTTGCATTGAATCCTGTTATCTAATGAGGCATTTATGCGTTTGTTCCGTAATTTTTTTCGCCATGAGCCGTGGCCTACCTTTGTTATAATTGTTACCCCGGGAATTGAACTCATGGCCACCAATATATGCATTACCTATAAATGAGGGAGTTGGTTTACCCTTATAAGTCTTGGCTTAAATCCCCTTTTTAAAGAGGCCTATCCCATATTTTGCCATACAAATCATTATTGATCCACTTAACTTGAACTGCATTACATACATATAAGGTATTTTAATGAAATACTGAATTTGTATTGTAATAAATTCAAATCTATATAATTTTAGACGAACCACAGAGAGTGAGCAGCAGTAAATCCCAGTACGCGTACTTCGACCCACGTTCAGGGTATCTGAGTGAACCTGAGGGCGGTCTAAGTAGGCTTACTTCCGGCACATGGAGTGATGCGTACGATAGTGACGTCACATCCGGTCCACGCCGCCGTACCGCGTCCGTACAGGAGGACAGGAGGAACGATATCACTTCACCGTATCTGTCTAACAATAAGTAAGGAACTTTAATTGTGTATACAGTTCGTTTATTCATAAAATCTACCTAATTAGTGTTTAAACCTACGAATAGTTTTATAGTTATCCGTAAGTTTAAACTGTCACCGCAGTCTTTATTAACACTAAGCAGTATAGAGAAGAAACCGTTAAGTGAAGACCAATTTAGGTTTTATAAAAAATATATTTTTGTCATATTTGTACTCTACTACTGGTCATTATCATATAAATCCTAGTGGATACGATAATTGTGATCCAGAATCACCAATGTGCGGTAATTGTACGGCCCTGCTATGATAGCTGCCGGCTTCAGGCTGTGAACATATGTGTTGGCATATGGCCAACCATGAACGAAGAGCAGTTTGAATTGTCGACGAATAGTTTCATCGTCGGACGTCAAGGCAGAATGAAAAATTCCATCCGTATCACCTCGACGTCCGTCGTTCCACAATCGAGCGGTTTTTTAAAGCAAGGCCGCGTACCACCATTTCCGAACCAATTCGACTTACGGTCCTTCAAGAAAAGAGGGTAGCAATTCTTGAAAGGCCGGCAACTCACTTGCGAGCCCTCTGGCATTGAGGGCCTCCTGCCCGTTTGCCCCCTGTTACATATAAAAGCCTTCCTACTCATTTCACATTAATTTTTTTCTCATTTCTAGGTACAGTACATTAGCATCAACGAGAGTGAGTCAAGAGGTATACAAGTCGCAGCCCGGAAAAATTGAGAACTACACGCCCGGTAAATCTTCAGTAGTTGACAAGGAAGCCAAACAGGTAATGTTTGAAAAAACTGTTCCTTTCGACTAAAACTTTATCACGGGTTCATCATCTAATATAGGAATCATTTACCTAACAGCCTGATATAGTTTATAGAAATCCAGATTTTTTTTCTTTTCTAGTGGTGGGACGAGGTCATGGACATATTTGATGGGGTACGAATCTTTTATAATTATATGTGTATTTGTGCTAACACCGTTTATAACCCTATTTTCATTTACACTTTTAGTCATGCACGTTTTGGATCTGATGGCAACACTAGTATTTTCAGATCGAAATTTTGAATCTGCGTCCCTTCCTTCTCTATCGCCAGTCTTGCTTGTCGTTATAATATGCTCTATAGATTAATAAATTGTGTATCTGTGGATTAACGTGAGGTTTTGTTAATAACGATATGTTGGTGTTGCGGCGTTGGTGCACTAACAGTGGCTAGACGACAACTCCCCTCTACCGCCTTATTCGACATTGCTCGCTCGCGCCATACAAAAGAATGTAAGGTTATTATTAAAAATTGCATGTTGGCATGTTGTGCCTTCGATGTTTTTGACTTAGAACTTTATTTATACGACGTTATGAACCAATCAATGAATAAACGTCCTTACGTCTTGGTCGTAAAGTGCATTTTACTATGCACTTGAAGCTCAGTATTAGCTAGAAACAGTAAGCTAAGGAAAAAAAATATTTGCATGTATAAAATAAAATGTTTCTCTTATATGTGTGCTTGTTATAACACTGAATGTAAATAACAAGAGCTCTGTTTACGGCATGTTGCGCAAGCGTAATCTGTAAAATATTGAAACGAAATTGAGCTAGTATTCGATTGTTTTGTTGTTTTTTTTTATTTTATGTGAATGGTTCTTTTACCGTGGAAAAGTCAGTTATTTTCTCCTCTTGGTGTTCTAATATACTATATTGTTAGCATAGAAATATTTGGATGAGCATTGGTGGGTATTTAAATATTTCAGTAGATTTGAAGTGTTTTGTGAAGTATTTAGCACGAATTGCTGAAAATTTTAGCATAAGGGCATATTAATTTGTAGAATTTCGTATTTAATAGTTCATATTATAAACATTTCAATAATATTTTCTTTTTAGGAACTCAATTTTGGATACTAAAAGTATTTTTTAATGGTTACTTATCTTCAGACGATTGGGACCTACCTATCACGCAATCTTCAAAATCTGCTTACATCTTTAAGCTTTACCATTAATTTCACAAATAACTAAACTTTTTGTGTAAAATATTAGTACATATATTTTACTAATACATATATTACCACTTGAGCGTTATGACGCTAACTGATGGTAGAGCCGCATCTGTCTCTTGTCACGTTTTCGATGCAATTTAAAAAAAAAGACAAATGAGTACCTATTTTAGATAAAACAATTGAATTGCGGGGTTATAGTTTGTAGGTCGTTAACCTGTAGACAATTAATGAACATCCTCCAAATATTTGCGTATAAGTCATATTTTACAAACGTTTCAGCAAAACATGTCCAATACCACGATGAGTACTACGTCGCTACCAAAGGAGAAGAAAGACATCACCTCTGCTATTTTATCGAAATCTAATATGGCAAGGTTTGTATTAAGAAAGTAACTATAACCTTTTTAAATTTTAAACAGTCAATAAGTACCATGAAAGATTTAATATTTTAGAGGTAAATCAAAAATTTAGATTGATTGGTCTTCCAGTTTGACCAATAACTTAAATATCCCTGAATTGTTTTCTCGCACATTATTACAACACAGCGAACATTAATTTATTTGTACATAACCACATGCTTGCGTTTATTTTCAGTAAATTATTTAATTCAATACTTTTAGATACTTAGTAAAATGCTTTGTATTTTATCAGGGCTTTGAAAGAGTCTGGTTACGAATCAGATTCGACGTTGGTGTTCAAACGACGTGAAGAAACAGAAGGTCCATTGTCACCAGCGGAGCGCCGAGCTGCGTACAGAGATCTTCAAGCGGGGGGCGAACCCCCACTTAGGGGCTTCAGATCACCTGCCCCACCAAGAACGGGTAAGTTAGGAATTAGGATTATGTTATATTGATGTTGTGCTAATCAATGTTTATGATATTTAAATTGGTTTTTATGAAAAAAGGCTATTTTCTCAATATAATTTTACATTTTACGTAAATTAAAATTAATTTTACACATTATTTATGTGTCTACTGATAAGAGGTAAAAGAGACGTGGAATTATAATTCTAGATTAAGATGCATGTATTCTACGGTGGTGGTATACGCTACTTAATATTTCGGCTATAACGTTTACTTTTTACGAGAATATAAATATGTTTCCTATATTTAAACGATACAAGGTCACATGTAGTGAGCACGTTTATATTGTCATGCGCTATTGACAACAAGGCCAAAATCTAGGCATTGGTGATATTCTCTTCAACTAAAATTAATATCTAACTAACTGCGCTTAAGGTAAGATATCACAATACTTATGCATGTTGCTTAAATCTTAATAATGGAACTTCGGACAATCGGTATGGCTGCGGATAAAGGTAAATGCATGGATATCATAAGTAGTTGATTATAATGTTGTTAAACTCCATAATTAAACCACAAACACTGTTAAACACAAATTTAAATTAGTTTCCGGCACATATTTAGTTCCACGTTTGAATACAAGGCTTTCACTTATCCATTTATAACAGGGTACACAATACACGCAAATCTAATAAACTAAAGAAGAGTTTATTAATCAACGACGGTGGGAATTTGCAGAGGAATCTGAAATCGAATACATTCCAATATCTTCGACGTTAACGAAAATAAGAATACACAAAAAGTCACCAAGTCTTCATGAAGTTATATGTTATCCTGTCACAAGAATAGAAACAGATCAAAGGACAACGAGGAAAGGAGCGAAGGATGTCCTATTGCCACCTCCTCCACCACGCAGAGTATCATCAAGAAGTAGTCGTACTCTTCAACTGGTAACAATATCGAAACCTAAATCAGTATCACCAAAACGAGTAACAATGCCATCTAATGTGGATTTAATAAAAGAGAAAATAAGTAGCAAATTGAATAGGCAAAATACACATTTGATTCTTAAGAGCTCAGAAACCTCTTCAATTGTGAATGCTACGCGAAGAAATACTTCGAGTTCCGCACCTCCTGCGTTAAGTAGACATAAAAGCACGTCCTTACCAACATGCAAGGAAAAGAATAAAGTAGTCGGTGTAAAACAATTCGGTACTAGTAGTTTTGGTTCTCCGAGAAAGACAACTCAACCAACAGAATATTCGACACCATCACGTTGCAAATATGGAACATCTCCAACATCAATCATAATAGAAGGAGGTGCAGGAAGAAAAACTCCTATTACTAGCATATTGGATAAAGTTACGCCTATTGACAAACTTTGGGGATCACAGAAGCGAAACGAACAAATAGATTTAACAAAATTGAAAGGTACTGGTAAATGCGACAAAAATATGCAATTAAAAATCTCAACTAAGCCATCAAGCAAATCATCAACACTTACGGCCGTAACGCATAGAAGCCGTGATATGATTCGTACTTCCGAAAAAGTGCAGAAGTTAAAATCATATGCTCAATCAACGCCATGCTTAGTAAACAAAAGAGACGATAGGCAAATCGAAACAAATATCAAAACTCTTGCGAATGTATCAAAGTCGTCGTCAAATATTTGTAACAATTTCAAAAAGGCTAATATTATAAAGACGAATGAAACTAACAAATCGAATAAGAAATCATTAGAAACTGTTTTTATCAAACCAAAAGCATTTCCAAGTCACGAGAAAGGTAATAAAAATAAACCAAAAGTACAAAAGGTACTTCAAACTGTAAATAAAAATAGTGGACATAAGAAAAAGAAAGGGGATAGTATTATCAATGAAAAATGTAGTAGTCAATTTGGAGATGATGTAAATGAAATTCACCCCGAAGAAAATTTATCTCAGAAACACTTACATGTAAAAGAAATCAAAGCCGGTCGTGACGCCATAATATCAAACTCCTTTTTTCAACACTTATTTTTTCAAAATGCCCAGCCTATGCCAGTTTCAACAGTTTCAGAGTCGTGTCATGTTAATACTGTAAAAGAAAAAGCCCGAATGTTTCAATCTAATTTATGTACTGGAGTATATTATACTCCAAGTGCTATAAATACATATTTGATACATCGCAAACCTGTGTCTCTTTCACGATTTAAAATCTGGGATAAAAATGATAGCCCTTCATGCATACCGAGCCCAAGATCTATATCATGGCCCGGTCGAATGGATGGAAAAATAAAAAAATTTGATAGTTTGTCAAAGTGCCAGGATGATTATGGATCTTCGATGTCACTATCTACCATTCGCAGTAATAGTGAACCACCGACAAATAAATTATATTTTTCTCAAACATCAAGACCTAAATCACCAGTTATAATATTTCACAAAAATCAAGATGACAAAGATTCAAAAAGCTTCGATATCTATAGTTTACCTTCAAAAATGGTACACGAACAGGCATTACATGCGTCTAAATCTAAACAATGTCTAAAATCAAAAGCTTTACATGGTTCCAACACAGTCAGTGCCACTCCTGTTCGTTTAGTTTCAAAATCGGATGATTATAATCTTAGCTTAAATTATCCACCAACTATTTTTTTCTCACAAATATCCAGACCGATATCACCGAAAGTTTTTAAAAAACCTTCAACCCCTACTAGAAGCCAGTCATCGTCGCCAATTTCTATTAGATCGCCGTCGTATAGAAGAATTAACAATGTGAAATCTCAACAAAAAGCCAACCTTGCTGGAACCAGACCACGTAGTGTAGATAGTGAAAATAAAAACACGTTGCCTTCACTTCAGACGAGGTCTAAAAGTGATACATTATCTCAGAATAGTGACCCAGAATATGAGGAATATATACAAGATATTGAAAATAATAAAAATAGATCTGAAAGATTTCGTGAGCTAAATAGGTATTACACTTATTTAGAAAGGGTTGGAGAACTTGAAAAAGCCGCTTCAATTACCGACTTACGGCACAGAAGAAAAGATGAAGAAATTATTGATTTTGATCGATGGAAGAAAATTCGAGCAATTGAAAGAGCCGAAGAAGAACTTAATAGTCTATATGAGAAGTTAAAAATTGCACAAACGGAAAAAGATTTTCTGTTTTATCCTAGAGATATAAAAGATTTTCGTTGGAAATTTGAGAAGGAAAGGGGTTTGAAAGTAAAAGAAAAGTCAGTTGAAGACCTTAAGGATGATTTGTTACAAAAATCCTCGTATTGCCCTCAAGATGTAGAACCAAATCAAAAAAAAGATGTCTATAAACCTTTATGGAGGGGTAAAAGTGTAGCTGAAACGGCATTCAGTATCAATAAGAAAAATGAATGTAAAGATATTAGTAACACAACTTCTATTACGAAACCTTCACATAGCAAAAATACAGATCTATCTATAGGCGAACTTCGTAAAAAGATAGGAATTGGAAATCGTCTTTGGAGCAGCTTATCCTTAGACCAAGTAAATGCTTTAAAGAGTCAACTGAATGCAATTTATAGTAAAGAAATTGAATCGAAACCCCAAAAAGAAATAAATCAATATACAGTGGAGGTAAAAGAAAGAGATAAAAATTACAATTCCAACTTACACGTTAGATGTAGCTCACTGTTAACTACGCCTACTCATGACATTTTAAAAGAGTTAAACAAATCCAAATCGATTGCTGCAATATGTCCAGTTCCATCTGAAAAGGATATTAAAAATAATGTTAATAATACACAGATGTCTCTCAGTGAAACCGAAAAAAAACAAATTTCACAAACTCTAAGTAAAGAAGTTATAAGACGAATTAATACAAAAAGTAACTCTGAAGAGTATTGTGAGAAAAATAGCAATGAAATCAAAGATACATGTAATCTTCTTGCTACTAATAAAAGGCATGTAGTTTATGCATCAGATAAAGAAGAATTGCCTTCTTCGGCTAGTGAGACGGAGACTGGTGGTTCAGATAAATCCAATAATACTGTAATTTTTGTGGCACCCAAAAAAGAAGTTCAAAAAAAGGTTGAGTATTTTGAATCTGTAAAAAAATTACCTCATAGTAGTGCCCAAATTGAAAACAGCATCCCGCTAGGTAATCCGATTATAAAGTCATGTGATATTTCGTCTCCAGGTTATATATCTCAATCACAATCGTGTACAAATATTAAGGAACTTTTTGGTGAAAGTGATAAAAATAAGTTTTTATCTTTACCATCGAAGCCTGACCTATATTCGAGATCGTCTTCGCCTTACTCAGACGCGTACATTTGCGATAAACGATCGCCTGACTCGCTACGTTTCTCCAGTGACGAGACAATCTGGCGGAGTCGAAGCCCGTCGCCCGATCCGGAACGTTACTGGCGAGCCTTCCTTAAACTGGCGCGTGCCGGTGAAGTACGTCGCCTTGCTCGGCGGTTCGATACACTCCCTGTCACCAGCGCAGTAATACGCCGACATCGCAGTGACCCAGAAATAAACAACATCGGTTTAAGAAATTGTCTATGTACTGGTAAATCTGCGAGACATAGAGAACGATGTAAAACATCATACACAGTAGCACGCGTGCCGCTTAGATCCACAAACCGTTTTATGCCTCATATTGATATAATTTCAAAATTGGCGGCTCTTAGGAGAAGGACAGCTCCAAGATCGCGATCAGCCGAAGAAGCGTTAGAATGTCGACCTGGAGAAGTAGAACGAATTCGAAAACGCTTCGAAGTAATGTCACTACTTGGGCAAATATACTCATCCGCTCCTGATGTAAGTGAACTTAAAGATATAGCACCATACTTGGAAGGGCCTTGGGTTGCGCATAGGTATCCAAAACCGAGTGACAACAATAGGTCGGTCTCCGATACGAAAAATTTTGTTCGAGGCCAAGTGTCCCCAGTTAAGAAGGAAATTAAGAAACAAATACCAAAGGCACCTTTAAAACTTAACTCAATCTTAAAAAGTGATGGAAGTGAAGGGCAAGAATTTAATCCATCGGCACACAGGCCAATTAGCCGTTATGAACCTCCCCGATCGCCCGCCCGCCCTCCGCCAGCTGAATGGCCTTACAAGTTAGCACCCTTCGTCACGCCATCGCGACATAACGTCAAATTTGAAGGTTAATATTTATGTGTTTTTTTTATTTTATAAATGTTTAATATTGGAGTCAAACAACAATTACATTCACTCAATATTTTCCAAGCATATAAAATGAGTAAAACGGCAATAGAACTTTTTAGACATTTAAAACTGTATATTACTTGGGATATACGCCTGATTAGGATTTTTTTCACAAAGAATTTATTTTATTTTTAAACTACTATTCAAAACAAGTTACTTATCACTTTCAAACATTAGTTTTTATTTGCATCCCATCATATTTTATTGTATTCTGGTAGAAACTGATTCCACCCCGGAGCCACCACGAAGGATGCCACAGAGCAGCTTCTCTGATTCAGGTAATGCATATATTACTCAATTTTTTACGATAATTACTTAGTTTATATTAAACTTGTTTATAATGTGGCAAAGTGACAAATTTGTCTACTACACATATGAACTCTTACGTGATGTGAATTAGAAATGTTTATAAAGTATTTTGTAAGTCCCGTTACAATTATATCTTTAATATCTACAGCAAATGAAACAATAGTCTTTGTTCAACTAAATTATGTAGTCATACGGTAGACGCGATTGTGCGTGGTTTTGGCCATCGTACCATAACATAAGTACAACACAAATCTTCTTATTAAGATCATTAAAGGTCGACCAGATGTTTACGTCACTTAAGCCCGTCACAGCTTAAGGTTGCCGGCTCAGTTTTTTCGATTGTAAATAGTGCTCCACGCTTCCTGATCGAGGCCGGTTCAGTTTTGTTCGATAATATTTCCAGAAGTGTTTTTGTTACAAATGTTATCTATATTATTATCTAGAAGTATTTATTGATAACGATATCTTGTTTAGTTTGTGTCATCCAAATCATAATCTATTGAACAGTGTGTAGTAATGAAACAAAATCTGTGAAAATGAACTTAAGTGAACAAAAAAGCAGTGCCGGCACTAAAGTGTGCGTGCCAGAAGACGATGGTTTTTACAGTGATGTTCCGATTTCGGGTTCACTATCAAAATCGTTGTTGGCTTTAAACCAATACGTAAAAAAGAATTTGCTCTATGATGACAGTGAAGATCAGACAGAAGAAATTAACAATGACGGAGCATATTTCTCTAAAGAAAGTAGTCCAAATGATTCTGTGGCTAAAAGTGACACAGAGAGTGTTAAAAGTTATGAACTGTCCACGGCACATAGCCCTGCCATTTCAAAAGTGAATGTCGACGTAAGTGAAAAAGATGAAATCAAAAGCGATCCCACAAAACAAACGGACGATTATAAATTTAAACAACTTCTCGAAAATCCCCCTTCTCTACGCCGTTACTCCAATTCAATAAGCATTCCAAACCAGGACCAAGATCGCTATTTAATTGAAGAAAACTACTCTCAAATATTACGCGATACTAAAGAAAATGAAGAAAACTTTGTTGAACGACGATCGGCTACTAAGGAAAAATCGCAGCGGCATTCGGTACACGATGGTAATTGGGTTAATAGGACAAATATTTATCCAGATGTCTATGCACCACTGCCATTTAGTAAGTCTTTAATGTAATATTTATTGTGTCAACTACAACAAAATGCATAATGTGCAATATACCAATAGCGCTACAACTTTTTATGATATTAATTTATTTATTCAAGCAGACAATCATAAGTCCCTATGATTAGTAATATGTTAGTTACAATATTGTCCTAAATATTCGAAGATCGAACCTACGACCCCAGGGATGAGAGTCGCATGCTGAAGCAACTAGGCCAACACTGCTGCAGTGTGAAATATGATTTCAACGTGTGATGACAATTCATAGAAAACTAGTTACTAAATTCTTGAAATTCTATTTTTAAAACCCTTACATTATGGTTTTACCTTTGATGTTGTGGTTAAAAAGACTTAAAAGTAACATTTTGAAATTGTTTAGTTTAAATCCTTCATTCACCAAGATTCCAAAACACGAACATCTATGAATGAAAACTATTAAATTCCATAGAAAATATACGATTTACGATGAGCGTGTTGATAAGTCTAAACATACATTAGTGTATTTTGGACACGTATTGCCGTGCCTTAATGATAAATAGTTATTTAAATGATGATTAAAAGTTAACGTTTGATGGCGACACGATAAGCTTTGAGCGGGAGACGATGAAAGTGATTTGAAGTAATCACGGTGTTCGTCAGTTATCGCGACGGTGACAGACCGACTGGTCGGACTTTTTATATAATTGCTGTGCGTGCGCGTCTTGTGGTTTGACATGGGAATATTGAAACAATTTAAGAAAATAACATCTAATGGTTCGTCCTATATTCAATAATCCTCATACTAAGTTCTCTGGTAAAAAATCCTTTACTCTATTGTTTTGTTTTAATTTATAAAATGTATCAATTATAAAAACCTATAATTCTGAGATATATACTAACATTACACGTGCGCGATTACCTAAATTCAAAATAAGAACAAACACTTTGCCGTGATTGACAAATTTCGTAATTTCGTTACGAGACAAGTTTTGCAATAAATTCTTTGTAAATTGGTTTCACAATTAACGTCGATGTTATTTTGCTACTTTTTAGGTATTTGAAACATTTTAGAATTACTTGGCTTTACTTACAATAACTCTGCGTACCATATACCATGATAAAATTCAACTAAAAGGTCTTTAATTTCTTCTCTAGTAGATTTGCATTAAACTACAACTCGGTACAAACAAACTTTTTCAAAATATTCTTTTTTAAGACCTATTTGAATAAATTTATATGTATTGTTGCAAATAAAGGTAATTTACAGACTGGCGTTTTCTTGATCTAATCTATAAAACCTAAGATCTTATATATTAGCTTACTACTGGAAATAAACTTTAGTACGCTATGGCTTAAATGTGGGTTCAAATTAATTCTAAAGAAGAACACTGTCTACGCTTCCTTCAATCAGTTAACTAATTGAGCAATCGATTTCTGAGTTGCACTGTTATTTAGATATGTAACTCTTATTATATTATTAAAGATAATTGAATGACCCTAAAGCTTAGGTTTCCTAGAAAAGCGGTGCCGTTATCTAACGGCCATAATGTAGCGTTGGGTGACGTCACCCATACGTTGTCTATAAATAACATCGGAGTAGGTTTCCTAGAGAACGTTGAGTGTCACCGTAACGCAAATAGCGGTGCTGTCATTTGCATGACGGCCGTCATAGCGGTGATAAACATAAGTTAAACGTTTTTCGCGTGTAGCGGTGCCCATATTTAATTAATACAATAAGTGGAAACGTGACTTGGACGAGCGAAGATGATTTTATTTGCATTATGTTAAAAAGTAAAGACGGCCGTTATTAACAACCGTAAAATTACGGCCGGTGCCTTTTCTAGGAAACCTAAGCTTTACGTGATGTTTATGTAACGTCAAATTATTTTTTCCATCGTTCGTATTCAACTATTATTATACAACTCAGACGTCAATTGTCTGTAAAGTGGGTTTAATGATTTCCATACACGTTAATATGTAGTTGACGCGAGAAACTTGTGTTTAGCATCAACACGTGCCAGAAATACTTATTTAGAGAAAGCCGAGACGAATTGCTAAGGGCTTTCCATTTCATTAAGAAAACTTGTAACCGTTTTTCTCGATAAAGAAATCTGTTACTAGCAACTTGAATTCAAATTGTATTATTCTTAAATCTGAAGCCGTAAAAGTATTTTCTTATTGTAATTCCTAACAAGTATTTATTACTTTACAAGAAAGACGAATATAAGTCACGTGGAGAAATGTAAATGGCTTCATTTAGTTTTAGTATAAATATAATTTTGTTTAAATTTGCTTAAGCTTTTGTTTCGAGAGAATAATAAGGTTTCGGCTGAGACATCTAATTATATAATTTATGTCTCTATATTATTTTAAAGATATTAATTATACAATCAACAAATTAAGTCATCTAAACTTCTATATCAAAACCGTTAGAGATATATTTTTATATGCTAGGTAAATACAGCCTTTCGTTTCGCCCTACTTCCGACATAGTAAAAACCGGTTGAACTCGTGAATAACATTACGTATCGTCACATAACTACGAAATATTATACTGATGGCTATTACAGCATTGATCATGCATACTTTCACTCTTTTATGTATTCAAATTAGATTGAGTGTCAGTGCTCTATTTATTTCTTGTTATTGTTTATATTGAAAATTGAGAATTTATGTTAAACGCTTCTAAATATTAGTTTTAACTATAAGTAACAAAAAAGTTTTATTCACCCATAAACTACAACTATATTTTTAAATTTATTTTCTGTGTTATGTAAAATAAACAATTATTTTTAATCACTCGACGAACTGAAATGACGCAACGATTTAGTTCATTCATAAATACACTATGAATATTCAATTAAATATAAAAAAATCCAAATAATATTATGTAGTACTTTCAAATACGACATGAAAACAAATTAACATTACGGGATGTAATAATTAAATTAAATTTAAATGCTTAAAAAAACTGTATTTGTGTAATTATCAAAAGATACTATTGTACGATTAACTTCTTTTCTAGAATCACCGAGCCGCCGTTATGTGGAGAGCGATGTAAATATCCACTATCGCTGTCCAGTTCGACACGATCCCTTGCCCTTGGTGCCCGAGAGAGAGCTGGCCCGTCAACAAGCAGAGCACATGAAACGGCTCTACCGAGAACAGAAGAGGAATAAGTATTTACAAGTAAGTAAGACATTTATTTCATAAATAAACATATTATATTTATAAATATAGAGGTGAAATGAGGAAGAAAATATCTCATATTTTTTGCCTTTGACAAAATTTATTTTATAAGAAGTTATAATATTAGTTAGTTTTAAGCGGGAAAGAACCGCAAATGATGAATCTGATAATACAGAGAATGAATAATAACATATCTGACAAAAACTTGACATCATTAAACTTAAACAAAGTTGGTACTGTAATACCTCTACTTATATGGGAAACGGGAAAAAGTTTAATGAAAATCGTGATAAAATTCAAAGAGCGAACGGAAAATTGCGATTACCGTGCCAGTCAAGTGAGCTCCGATAATATTTAAATTACTCAAAGACGCACGCTATGCCGTTTGATCGATACTTGACCCTTAAGTCATCATTATCTAAGGAATTATCTTATTATCCAATGGCACTATTAACGGATTAATTGAAAGCAGGTCGCTAAATGTACGATGTACATCGATGTCCGAGGATTTACGCAATTATATTTGTCCATGTAGGTCGTGTAAAAGGAAGGAAAATAAAGCTGGGCATAGCCCAAAAAAATAATATGAACGGTTGCGCATCTCTTTCTATGCCGACAAAATATTATTTTATTTATATCTGTAAATTAGTAAGTAAAATCCACTTATATGAAGTTAGCGGCTCCGTAACCACATCAACTTTCGTATACGGATTGTAACTTTCTCCAACATAAATGGGCAACATACATTAGGTAGATATTATAAAGTAATTGTCTTATTATAATTTGTTATTTCATTTCTGGTTTCTATATATGTTTGCGACTAAATGTATAGTTTAAGTATATCGTGAAATATGTGCTTTAGTCCATTTAGATGTAAGATAAATTTACTTTTAATTATATAAAGTTTCTCACATGCAGATTATTTATGGCTATAAAGTAGGTTATAGGGATACTATACTATATGATTATGACGCGATAATGTTTATGGTTAGCCCGCAATAGGCCGAAATAGCTAATCTCTCTAGTGACAGTATTCAAATTGCACTTTGGGAATCAAATGTGTAATACATTTGATTCCAATATCTCGTATTCAGTCATTTTGAATCATTTGTATGAATCGTTATCAAATAATCTAAATACTTTCAATTTTCACTCATTTAATAATTATAAATTTTAAGTTACTTCTCAAAACTACTTTAATTGTTTCCAATAACTTTATTATCATTAATTCCAAGCACAAGGTTTTTATAAAAATAACATTTCAAAAGTATCATTGTACGGAAATGGTTCTACTAGTGCATTTAGATTGTGAAAGCGTGACATGCTCTGTCATTGTGTAACTAAATAATATAATACTGTAATCGTTTGCAAAAAAGCATACGATTATTAGAAGAAGGTTTGAAAGATTAAAGATTCTTCTGCGCGTTAATCTTAATAAACATAGTGCTATTCAATACAAAACGATCCGGGCATATTTTATATCTCTCAATTAACTCATTACTGTTATAACAGCTTATTTCGGGGATAAAATCATTAATACTAAGTTCTATCTTATCTAAATCGTCATTCATACAAATTTTGATTTGTTATAGAATTATACAGATGACCTTGGAAGAGCACAAAAGTAGCTCTTCGATTTATTAAACACCTTCGATATACAAAATCAATTTTCCACCACTATCACGTACTTCTTCCAAAAAACTGTTTTCAAGTGCTCTTTTAATAAATGGTAAGATTTTTCGTATATTTAATTGAATTCCTGATTGGCGATTTAAACTGGTATTGCGATAAACAAAGCCATTCATGATAATAGACTGTCCGAATATATGAATACAAAATTGAGACCTTGACTCTGAATTGACCTTGAATAACAAAATGCGACCAATACTTTAAATGCCTTTGAAATTACTAAAGCATAAAAATATTTTGTTCGGTGATGACCAGTTAAAACCGATACTTGTATGAATGCGACGTTTTATATTATGAATATTAAAATACACCATTTTAAATTATATTGTATACGTTGTACATATTAAGATATTTGGTTCGTCCTAAATTCGGGAAAGCAATAACATAACTTTTGTGTTCGTTAAAATATAATTTGTACATATTAAAAAGTAGATACGTGTTTTCTTTTTAATTGTTCCTGCAATAATCACTCTACTATATAGATTTATACCTTTTATTTTTGTCTAGTACTATTATACGGTGGTTTTTACAAGCCGGGCTTATAAGTGTTTTTTTAGCAAATACGTACTCGCAAGTCAGACATTATTGATGTGAGGGAATGTCAAGGGCGGTATCTGTTAAATCTATACATTTTCCCTTACCATAAATATGTATTTAACATCATTGAGCCACTTGTCTGTATAACTCTTACATTAAAAATGAGATATAGCTGAATTGTTAATTTCAGGAAAACGACTATCGGGTGATCGACATAGAAGCGTTTGATGCGTCCATTAAGGTTATCTTATTAACAGAGTGCCCACTGTTTGACTTTTAACCGCTATATAACATTCGGCTGAACTCATAGGCATTTCTATCAAAATTCTAAATTTCATTGCAGCATGAATAACTATGTGTTTAGGTTTATTCTAGATAAGGAAAATAAATTAATCTAATTTCAGGAGCTCCAAGATATGCAGAGTAGAAGGCATCAAGATAACTTTATGCCGTCTCAGAAGACAATCGTGCCTCTTAATCGCTATGACGAGGCTGATCGTGTGGTAGCAAGGGCTTTGTATACGTTCAATGGGCAGACAGGGAGAGAACTTAGCTTCAGGAAAGGGGATATTATCAATGTGAGACGGCAAATTGATAACAATTGGTACGAAGGCGAATTTCACGGAAGGATTGGATTGTTTCCGTATAATTATGTTGAGGTAATTTTGAATTGTCTTAAGAGTCTTTAAATTAAATTAGTTTTGGATTACATAACTTATTTTCAACTAAGGTAAGATATATTTCATATATATGTTTGAGTACGAGCAAGAGATAATGTATGAACGATGATGAAATTTGATTGATATGTAGTCGTGAAATGTATTATAGTAACATAACTACCTAAAAACTAACATAACTATAATATTTTACGTGGCGTTATCGTTTCAGGTATAATTATATACCACATATGTATATACATAAAACTTATTATCTTATTCCGGGCAAAGACAAAACCAAAAACAGAACTCATATAAATTAGTCCAGTCATTCTTGAGTTATAAACAAAATTATTTGTTTTTATTATAACATAATTCCTGTTTTTTCAGTTACTAAAAGGCGATGTAGCCCAATCTCCGAAGAAGCCAGTAATCCTCGAAGGTCGGGCGAGAGCGAAATTCGATTTCACAGCACAAACAAATCTCGAATTGCCGCTCAAGAAGGGTGAATTAGTGGTTCTTGCGAGGCGCATAGACCACAACTGGTGGGAGGGCAGAGTGGGGAACAAGACGGGAATATTCCCGGACAGCTACGTCACCATCCTGCAGGAACCCAGTCAGGGTAAGCCGGGTAAGTTATATAAACCGGAAATCCGTTGCTCATATTTTGCCCCAAAAATCGCCGACGTACAGATGAGATTACAAGTCTTGTGATTTATTAAAGAATGATTAAAAATAATGAATTTTAATTTCTATGGAAAAATCTGTATGAAATTTTATGACCGCAACAAATTTAAACACTCTGTCTAGGTTAGGCTAATTGTACAAGCTAATAAATTGTGGAAAGCGTTTAATTTGTTGTGAAGGTGAATACTCAATATTATGATTATTATTACCAAAGATAATTAAATTAAATAGAAAAACCATTACTATGAACTTTTCGAACTTTAGCTGTTCTTATTTAAGTAGTTATAATGAATCTTGAAATTTCTTTAAATTATTACGTAAACATTCCTATTTCGATACAGCTTGTGACATCCAACGTCAAAATTTGTAAATACCACGAGTTATTTATTGTTTATTTACATTAATTGTTTTTGGTTCTATTGTATTATATCTACCATCGCCATGGAGAAGAAAGCTTATATAAACAAAATAATACTAGTATCTAGCAAATTTGCGAAGGCAAGTGGGGATACGTGGTCTTAGTGGGAATATATTACCTTTTAAGTAAAATGCAACAACCTGAGTAGAGAATTACATTACGCCTTTAAACCATATAGAGTGTTTTTTTGGTAATGTGGTCTTAAATTAAAAAGGTTTTATTTAATATAAATAAATTTAGAAAGCAATAGACACATATACCAGTTATATAACTATCTTAAATTTCATGCTTTAGAACCGCAGCCGATCCTATCAACCGACAAGCCAGTAGCATCACCAGCAGCTCACGGCGTGGTGAACGGAGACAAGCGAAGCCTCGGGGCTCACACTTACATCCCCCAACACAACAGCGCAGCACTCGGCAACGCCCCACCGGCCACTGAACCACTCATTGGTGTGTAATTGATTTATTGGTCAGCTTATAACCCAAATAAATTGCTAATAATATAATGAAAGTATTCAAGTTAACAACACAGCACATATTCAATACAAATAAGATAGTATTAAAATATGAACGTAATCATGTTTTGTTAAAAAAAACTATTGTAAAAAGATTTAATAAGTTATATGAATGTTAGAGTAACGTAACGTAGATTTTCTTTTTTTTTCGATTCAAAGTGGCGTTTGTGATTGGGATGAGCTTTTAAGCTAAACAATAATGTTACACAGAAGGATAACGACGCAAGGAAGAAGTGGCTATTTTATACCTTGTTCGTTCCTTGTTTGTAGCTTGTTACATGGTCAAAAGTTCTTAATTTTGAATTGTTACAATACAAGTTTTCATTTTAATTAATTGTCATAAATAATATAAAGCAAGCGAACACAATACTAGCATAACTTAATATAAAATTTAATTAGAACAGTATTGTCCTAGGTTCACGGTTTATGAAATATACAATTAACGAAACGCGTAAATAAAAACTTACTAGACTTATCTAATGGTCAAGGCCTGCGGCCTACAAACGTCTTCAGTTTTAGAATTAAATTTTAAATTTCCAGATCAAAAATACTATTGTACGATAAATAGTGAGGCATTAACCAACTTGAAAAAATCGGTTTAGCCTCTCTGTATATGATACTGTTGGAATTCAACAATATTAGTGTTGATCTTTTAGACATATATACACGTGTACGTATATTTATATGTTTGTTCACAAATTTCTCGAAAACGACATGTCGTATCGAGGTTTCGATTGGGTATAGTCCAACTTAAGAAACAGTCCAAGTTACATGAAAATCGGTTCAGTATTTTTTGAGGTATATTTCTCTACGCAGTTTTGTCCGTTGACAGCTATTTAAAGTTGGTTAAGATCTTCTAAATTACTATAATTACATTTCAGGTTATCCCGCGAAAGGCCACTCATCGCCAGCTGACCGTGGATTAAATGCGAGTGTAAACCTCAATAACACAGAGCCTCTTTATGTCGATACGAATGCTGAAGCTGTTCCGTAAGTCACTTCATACTAAACTCTAATTATATTAATCTTTTTAATAATCAAATAGTAGAATTCGCTATTGCGCCATCTATCGGGAGAAATGTGAACTAATAACTAAAAATAAGCCATATTTAATTATAGATGGCACTATTGTAAGAAATATTATATAGACTGACTTTATAATATTTCTCTCTCGTCTTACTATTCTTAATTTGCTCACTATGATTTGTAATTATCAACAGCGCTTCTTAAATATTAAAATCTAATCAATCTTAAACTGAAATGAGGTTGACGCAAAATGTCGCTAAAGTTTTAAGTTTAAACGCTAATTAAGATTATTTCTCTATTTTCAGATATCGTGCAATGTACAAATACCGACCCCAGAACCCCGACGAACTAGAGTTAAATGAAGGTGATACCGTATATGTATTGGAGAAATGTGACGACGGCTGGTACGTCGGATCCAGTCAACGGACTGGACGATTCGGGACTTTCCCAGGTATATTGTTTTATTTAGTTACATATATAGCTCAGTCACACTGTTAACCTGAAAAAAACTTCATGAAGCGTAAATTTAAACTATACAGTTATAAATAATGATCTCAATCTTATTAATATATAAAAACATAACATTTCCTATTAATATATTACGTGTTATGGTATTTGAATTCGAAAATGAACCTATTAATATCCTATCATCCTATTAATATATTACGTGTTATGGTATTTGAATTCGAAAATGAACCTTGACAATTACTCAGTTCTCTTTCGCGCACATTTATAGATATATTCTATCATTCACAATGTATCTGTTTTATGTAAATATTTTTCAAGATGGTCAGTAACAAATCAGCTTATCTCCTGACATTAATCATATAAATTGAAATACACTTTAATTTCGTAAAACTTCGTTAACACCGTAGATAGAGTATAGAACTAGATGAGCATCTAAAATAACAATAATAACTAAAGAGAGAAGGCTTTAACGTGAAATACTTAAGTGCGAGCGAAACAGAGTATCAGTTTTTCTGTCTCTATTTGCGTATCGGGTTTTATTTGTTTACCACCAAGCCCTTGGTCAATGAGTAATGTAAATAATGTAATTTATACGCGGTGTTATTTAAACTTTTATTTGTATATAAATTGTCCCTTAATTCTCTAGGTAACTACGTGGAGCGCATTTGATAGCGGCCGACCTCGCTGCTTCGGCGGCTGCGACGCGCTACGCTTTGTACGCGCAAACTGAGATGAACTCTTGTAACGCCATATCATTAAGCTTTTGATCCTAATTAATGACGTCACAGTTGTCATCGTGGCATGTGTCAGATATTTACATTTGACATGATATATGACAAACTATATAATGATCATGAGTGACAGCTTTATACCGTGTTCTAAATTATTGAAAATAATACATTGTTTATTAATTATTATTTGTTTGTTACAAGATGTTTTAATGTTACCAAAATCAACCCATGACTTCGTAATTTATCAATTTAACTTCGCCATTAAGAACCTAACACTGCACAATAATTTAGGAAATCGTTGTAAGTATCAGTTTGAAATCATACCATTTATTTCCAAAGTTGTTTTATTTTTTCCAAAGAGTTTGATTATTGAATAATTATGTTTAAAATGTATAAGTGTACAAAATAACATGAGACGTGTGTTAGATGTAATTATTTATTATGAGCTCATCTTTTAAAATGTTTTTTAAAAGAGCGTAGCTGGGCGTGGTTAATCTATACTAACTATAATAAATTTTGCGCACAGACTGCCTTAGTCGCGAATAAAGTAAAAAAAAAGATTTACAAAATTCGAACTTTAATATCTTTTAAGTTGGACATTTTGTTAAATTGGCGTCACAATTGGCTTTTCATCTTCAACTAAAAATATTCTAACAAATGTTTAATTTTTAAATTATTGTATATAAAGTTTGTTTGTGTTGGTTACCATAAAACCATACAATACTCAATATATTCGTTAGTTATAGGGCGAGTAACTTGGCGACGTTTGACAATACATTATTATATCGTAATTTATGGAAATAAATGTCTATGTATTTTATATGTAAGAGCTTGTAATATTTTACGCTGTTATACACTATGTACCTAGTCGATTTATGCCTATTTGTATTTATAATTAAATCCTCTAATTATTTATTATTACTTCTATATTTTATCGAACTTCCAATAATTAAAAACCTTTCTCGCCCTATGTAGGATCTTAGATGTCTTAGTTCTTAACCCTATAGTTGTTGTTCTCATGTTAATTTATTTTTAGTAGCACAAATGTTTTATTTGTTGTTGACACCTCTGTATATCGTCATTAACGGCTATTGTTTCATAAACGACACATCTAATAAATATAATCTTTCTAATTGTTGTATTATTTACCTTTACGTGGCGCCAGGTACAGCGCCGTTCAAGGCTCGTGAAACTAACTTTATCGAACAGATTTTTAGATTCGAGGTTACCATACCAAATCAGAACATTAAACAGAAGCAACGCAATATTCGAATTTGATTAAATTTACAGGCGTAATATGTGTTCTGTTAAAATATTTGACACTTTAAATATTTCATCAATTCGCTTGTTCGCCATTTACTTATACGTATATCACCATCTCCTGGAAATAATAAATAAGTATGTACTTAAGCTAATACACAAATTAAGTATCTATATATAAATATTTTTCGTTTTCAATCAACACGTAACTTTGCAAGTTTGAAGAACAGGTAAAAATCGCGCACGAACTTTCGGTACCGACTTAAAAATCTTACCGAGGCTGACAATGTTACTGTAGATTTTATTGTACATACTCAGGAACTACCTACTTATAAAAACTATATAGGCACAATATTCCGCTATATGACAATTTTCCAAGATTGTTTTCTGTGAAAGTGCTTCTATAACAGGTATTCAATAGACAAAATACCCAATAAATTTACCCAAATCAATTAAGCCATTTCTAAAATACGTCAAATAAATTACCAAGAAAGCTTCAAGCGTGCCTTATAAATTGTAAACTAGATGGCGCTAATATAAAAACAAAAATATTTATAAAAATGTCATCGTTTCTTAGCAACGCCACACAGTAAACACTGTTAAGTTTTAAACCCAAAAAGTTAAACACAAATATTTACATAAAGTTTTATATTTTATTTAAAACTTAAAAATGGTTGAAACAGATTGGAGAGAAATTCTGAACTACTCTCAAAAAGAATTAAAGCAAACGGATAAAGAAAAACTTTGTGAAAGCCTCTCTTGGATGGAAGCTGATGATATAGAGCTGAACTTTTCTGATTTAAAATCCTTATTTAGACTTGCCCAAGATATGTTGAAATTTAAAAGTGAACAGGTAAGTTTTTTTACTAAAGTAAAAAATTGCAATGATTTTGTACATTACAAGTCTCTCCACTCTCCAGAGAGAAAGCCAAAGCCATTTGTTTATAGAAATATAAAATTTGCTCGCATTATGTTAAATTGTGATTTTGTGGTGTAGGTAAACAGTCTTCTCAGTCAGGTGGAAACGCTTAAGCGGAAATATGGGAAGGCTAAAGGAAAAATGGTCACAATGGGTATGTTACTTTTAAAAGATACTACATATTGATTTAGATTAATTACTTTTATAACAATCAATTATATCAATTGGGCAATAATGAGCAGTGTTATTAGTAACTAGGTTTGCCAGCTTTTTTTCAGCCAATAAGGAGCAATTGCTTAAATAGGCAAAAAAATACGGGAATTTAGTTTTTTACCCGGGACAATTAAGAAACAAAATTATACAGTGACCATTTTTTTACATTTTTTTCCGAGGATCAAAGAATTTTTATTGGTTTAACATATTTATAAAAATCAATTAAATTATAATCGTAATTAAAAACGGTCATCAACTCGTTTTTTATTAAATTAGGGATACATTTATTTTTCACATCAGTCCACTTATTAGGAACAGTTTGAGCTACGTATACTAAAAACGAAGGATAAAGTTTGGAAAATGCTAGAGATTTCGGTACTGGAAAACTCTTTGATGACTTTCTTCCAAGTTTCATTCGCTCCCATACTCTTGTAATCAGAAGTTGTATTAACAATATTCAGGTTTTTTCTGATTATTTGGAATTCTTGATACAAGCAATCCATATTTATTTCTTCTATCTTAAAATGTTCCGCCGTTTCTTGGAAATTGTTGTAGTTTATTTCAGATTTAAAGTATAAAAAGAGTACCTTGGAGAGAATATTATTTTGTGAAAAATCATATCTTTCAACACGTTTTCTAGTAATTCGTTTGCGTCGGCAGTTTATCCACGTATTATTTAACTTTAATTTTTAAAGATTTAATAATAAAAAACGGAGCACGGTTCGAATACCTGACATAGTCTTTTATTCATTTTAAAGTAAGCCTAAAATACGGGAAGTCCCGGGAAACACGGGACGTCTGGTAACGCTATTAGTAAGTCTAGTCCAGTAACAACATTCTGATTTTAAATTAATTAATTAATTAACCGGTGCAGAGTGCACCGGAACTCAGTACTTACAGTGTATTATAAATTTATTGAACTTACGAGATGTTGTCTACGAAAGTGTTGTAGATTTTTTTTGTTTGTTTTGCACAAACCGATAGAACTTATTCACGTAGACTATTCTTAGATTCTCCTGCGAGGGACTCAGGCGCGTTAGAAACAACTCAACATGACGAACTACTTAAAGCTAACAAAGAAATATTGGAGAAATTGTATTCAGAAATCGCAGAGTTAGAACGTCGTAAATCCAAATATATGGAGGAAGATAGTGAATCTAGTCGCGATGCTTTATCAGAAATGGGTGCTATTGCACAACTTGAAGACGAAGTAGTTAAACAGAATAGACACATAAGAAAACTACTAAATGACGTGAAGGTAAGACTTTAAAAAACACTGTTATTAAAAAAATATGTTAATGTGTAAATGTGAATTTACCGTGAATTCAAAGTTACAAGAAATATCTTAGCGGAATGTTATTTAAAAGTAAGCGCGCTCTTTTTAAATGTGATTTTTAATTGCTTCATGGACTAATAGTTCGTGGACGTAATTTGAATGATACAAATTTTAAGATTATTGAAATTTGAATAAATTGCATTTCGTTTTTTATCATGATTGGCAGTTGGGACGACATTCTTAAATAATATTTATTATATGTGTGTTAGGATCAAACCGCAAACGACTAACTTCATGTTATTTTCAAATTTCAATTTGCTATTACGATTTCTGACAGTTGTGTTCTTTTTCTTTATTGAATTCTAATTTAATTTACGTAAAATCTACAAATATTATCTTTTACCATGAGTTTTAAACTAGGAAAAAGTGTTCATTTCTGCTATTTGATGTGTATATATATAATTTTTGACCAAAACCGTTACAGGCTAGGCAACATCGAAGGTATTGACTTCTTGGATAAGGCTCGATAACATTAGCTTTCCTGTTAAATCCTTAAAGCCGTATGACCATTTTATCAAAGGCATTAAAATAAAATTATAAATAAATTCTTGGTTGATTTTAGACACTTGAGGAAGAAAACGCTACTTTAAAGGAAAAGCTGTCAGTTTTTAAAGATAAACTTAAAGAATCCACATTGGTTATTGAAAATTTAACTGAACAGTTATTTACACTTAACAGTGAATGTTCACAATTAAAAAGTAAGTATTCTCTATACTCATAATTTCGTAATTAATAAATTATTAGGAATTTATGCCATTTAAAAACAATGTAATACTTAAATTATTGTAAAGTTGCTCTAGGTAATTCTGAAGAAGAAAAGAATCGCTACAAAGTAGATATTGAAAGTTCAAACAAAAAAATACAAGATAAGACTTCAAAGAAAAATGTAGTCCAGGAGGAATTAAAAAATAAACTTCAACAACTTAAGGTACTGTCTACTCTATTTATGTAGATGTGGATGATATGATATAATATATAAAAATAATTTAAATATGTAATTATTTCAGGATATAATCAAAGAACAAAATAATGAAATAAAACAATTGACAACGGAAAATATAATTAAAAAAGAGGAAATTACCAAACTAAAGAACAATAGTTCCCCATCCAAACAAGTATGGTATTATTATTGTCTATTATTTAAAGGAGTATCATTTAAAATTACTATCAAAATAAGAACAACATAGTTACTATATTATTAATTTAACAA